TAGACACAGGCGCAGCAGTAGCAAACTAATTTGACGACAACTTCAGTCGGTGTGTGTGTGTGTGTGTGTGTGTGTGTGTGCGCGCGCATGGACACGGTGACGAGGAGGAAGGCGCGGGGGGTGGCGGGCGGCATTAGAACAAAGACGACGGCGGTGGCGGCGGAGGGGGGCCGTGTATAATATATTATTATTATTATGTTTGTTATTTTCTTCGCGATCTCGCGTGTGGGCTGGCGGGGCGCGGAGACTCGCGTACATACAGTCGTGTAATATAATTGTGGTCGTTGCCGCCGCCGCCGCCGCCGCCGTCCCTTTGACGGCAGTCGCTCATTTTCACATTTACATTATAATTAGCCGGTTTGTTTCTTTGCAGCGACCGCCACAACCACAACCGCCACCGCCCTAACCTCTTCGCCGTGCCCGCAGTGCTCGGTTTGGTGAGCCGCGCGTCTTATTTATTGCCACCGCCGCCACCGCTGCCTCCCGTGTCCCGTGTTTTACACGTGTTTTCACGCACGACCGATGGACGGCGGTGTGGTGTAGAGGAGTGGTCGTGGTATATATCCTACGCGACAACAGAGGGATCCTCGTTACGATTATAATTACGAATATTATTATATTAGTGGAAACGACTGCGTTCCTATGTATTGGGTTATTACAACGACTATTACAACAACACGAAATACAAGCGGCAGCTATACGGGCGTCGGCGGCGTCTAGGGTTTACACAAACGACATCCACTGGATATCTCGTGCGCCTTTCCGCCGACGCGTCGATCGTCTTCTGTTGTAGTGTCTACGTGCAGCTCTTCCGCGGACGTTAATAATAATAATAATAATAATAATAATAATAATAATACTTTTACGTGCGACTTTGACGCGACAATGTGTGTCTGTAAACACGACGGAACCGATTTCCGGCGCCGGTGTCGACAACGACAGCGGCGGCGGCGGCTCCGTAAAGTACCTATATTCTTTGTGTCGTTCGTTCCGCGGAAATATCATCACGCGAGAAAGAGAGTGAGAGAAACGATAATCGGCGACGACTCGGCAGCGGAGTCGATCGCGACCCGTACCTATACGGATTTATTGTATTTTAAGCGCCGCGCAGGTACAACACACAACCTCCACCGTACTAATATCTTTCGCAGGTATATTATTCCCGTCCATCACGGTCGTTGCGGTCCCGTGTTTGCACTGTTGCCCGCGTACGATATGTCATCACATCGGCGGAGACCGAATTAAAAGGTTTACATCCAACTACGCCGCACGTCACATATAAATAACAATAATAATATGATATTGTGTTTCTGTGTGCGCTGCAGCTAATCGCGACCGCCCTGTCGTACACCGCGCCGTATTGCTAATAGCCACCGACGTTACCGGTGCTACCGTCGGCGTCGCGACGCCGACGATGTTTGTTTCATTGGCGGCGGCTAAGGCGACTGCGGTAGTATTGGCGGGTATTACACGTCAAACAAATCGACAAACAAACGAGCGCAAACACGACTACTGCAGGCCGCTCTCGTTTGTCGGGCAGTTAAGTGGTGCACATCGGTTAAATCATATCGTGTAAAAGTATATATAAGCATATGTGTAAACATGGGTACGTACATGTATTATATAAGTACCTACATTATTTTTACTAAATTTAATATTATAGCATTTAAGTATATATAATGTATACAGTGTGATTCGCCGATAGTTGTAATGGGTTGAGACCAAATAGGCCAAGTTTTCAATTCTTTTTCTATTGATAATATAGTCATCATAGGTACTATAGTGAGACGACTTTGACTTATTAGTTATTGCTGATCTAAAATTATTTTTTATAATTTTCAGCTTGCTGAAACTCCTTTCACAAGTAGCTGTAGTGACAGAAATCGTTAAAAATATTCCTATAATGCCGCTTCTAAATTCGGATATAAATCTTGTAAAGAGTACTGATGAATATGCTTAGGAATATCTATTTGAGTTGTATTATCAAATGTTGTCATTAATAATGGAGCTTGGTATTTGATATTTTTAACTCTGTAACGTTTAAATCTCAATTATACTTTAATATCAAGTCATTAATCATTTTTTTTTCAGACTCCAAAGTTGATAATGAGTTGTCTGACAAGAAATTAAAATCAGAAATTTTTGTTTTTGTAATCTTAATAGTTACTTTAAATTTTGTTAAGTTAAATCATAGAAATTTGAATGAGTGATTCCCGAACTATTAAATTTGTTAACTAAAGATTATAAATCCATTAAAATGAATCAATTAATTTGAAAAATGTATATTTTATAGAAGCTATGACGATTTAAAAAAGTAAGTTATAATAATATCTAATAGGTAACATTTTATAATTTGTAAATACTAAATTGTTCTGGTATTTTGTATTTTTATAAAATCATTAAAAATGTATTTATTAATGAACAAAATACCATCACTAACATGTTTTACAAACTCAAAGATACTCATTTAAATTTCGTTTTGTAGATATAAACATTAAAAAAAAAAAACACTTCCTTAATAATTTTTAGTAGAAATGGTTGATTCTCGTTAGGAAAAGAAGTTCTCATCAACACAAGACACTTTTTAAACGGTATAAAAACTTAAATAATTATATGCTATTATGATTTTTATAAATATACTTAAAAATTTTTAAAGTTATAATTTGAATAAAATTAATTCTTAGATATTATATAGATTAGGGTAAAAAATAAGCATTCTTTTGAATCATCCTGTATACATAAACACTCGTCATACCTATGTGGTTTTACGAACAAAGCATAACATTGTAATAATGGCACTGTAAAATCAGATTTTTCTCTAAATATTGGTTCGTGAATCAAAAATTTTTCAATCTTAAAAGTTTAAAACGAAAATCCATGTAATAAATTAAAATAGAAACAAAAAGTGATTTGCAATAATATTTATTGCTCCCTTTGAGCAATATGCCTGTGGTGCTAGTGGTAGTATATTACAATTTCATAAATTATATGATGTTCGAAATTAATTATTGTGTACATAGTGAAATCCAATACCTACTGCAGGAAAACAATGCTTTGAAAATCGTGTATAATAATTTAGTTTTATAATTTAAATCAAACATATTATAATATATAAGTAGACGGGTGCGCGAGTATTCAAAAAAAATTATATGCCGCGGCTGCTCTGTCAGTGTTGTATTATTTATATCGCCTCGCACGTATATTATAATAAAGGCCAAAAAAAAAAAAATAAAAAACGTATATAAAGAGAAAAAACACTTATATCATACGCGACAGGGCGTCGAGCCAACATCCACGACGACAAATCTGTGACGGCCAGAGCTATAATTATAAATGATTACACACGCGATTATGATTATTACGGTTATGTGTTTGCTTCCCGTGCGCGTACGCCCACGCCGCCCACGTGTAATTATGAAATGTAAACACGCGCTAATACCGCGACGACAGCGACAATCCCTTTGAAACGGATTCGTTATTATTTATTTTCCGCTCTCGCGCTCGAAGAATTTTGAAAGAAAAACAGTAGTAATCACTTATAGTTTGCGTGTTATTATACAACACAAAATTCATAAATCGTACTAAATTTTTCAACGCATAAGCATATGCATGAATGCATGATATATGCAGTGAAAAATAACAATGTAAAACAAACCACAATATTATATTATTATAATAAATAATAATAATAATAATAATAATAAATGTACTAGAACACGATGTACAATAAGCAATTATTAATATTAATTAGCGTTCCCGTAAACTCGTCGAAAAATGTACACACGCGGAGCTGCTTTACGTATACAGTATTTATATTATATACAGAATCCTCACCTATAGACGGTACAATGACGTGTAATCGATTACTGCTGTGTAATTGTGATTGATATTATATTTTTTCTCGCACACAGCTATTATACACGATAAATATTAAATATGCGCGCAGATTAATCGGTCGTCCCCAATGCATTTCCGTCCGTCGTACATAATAACTGTTAGTATTTATTATAAAATGACGATAAGTCAATGATGTGTGCAAGGGGTGGTAGGGATAGATAAGATGACGCTGCCGCGCGATTAATTAATTAATTCATGAACCGATGAACTGCAAATAATGAAGTTGTATATTATATATAATTAACAACAACAAGCAGCCAGCTACAACCTTTTTTTACATAATATTACTGTCATGGTTTTTTTCTTAGCTCTACAGACGTACCGCCGCCGATTTTTACAGACGCGTTTTCCGGCCGCCGGTGCAAACTGCAGTGGGTCGATGACGATCCCGTCGGCACTCTTATCGAGTGCATATTTATTTATCAAAGCGAATCGTATTCGATCGAGCATATTGAATCTACTTACCGCCAAAGGTGTACGCGTTATTAATTATCAACTATTATATTAATTAAACATAAAATAACCTATTTATTCACACGATTTAAAAGCTACAATGATCATATGAAAATAATATCTATATAGATGCGGAGAATGACCGACTATACACTACAAAAGGCTTTGCTTATATAGTTAACGAAACTCGAATAGCGATGTACGTATGTCATATGAACGTTAAATCAATCGTTGTCGTTCCTGATCTAACCCGAACAAATGATGTTTTATAGACTTACATGTCACACGTGTATACACGTTTAAACATAATGTTATTCTATATAATTACGGGTCCCAAAACTATAATCATATACATATCAATCACCTTAATTATCTCGGCGGAAAATAGATGTATCCAAAATGGGTTTTATTCGACGACAATGCGTATAATATACTATAATATATTATTATATATAATTTAATAATTATGATTTCAATCGTTGATTACGTATCTTATTTATAGACGTGCGACGTTCTCGCACCGGAAATACCCTACATAGTAGTGGCAACGCGGAACTCTCGAGCGTAGGTATAATACTGCAGTAGCAGGCGGACAATCAAAATGCGTACTATCTATGTATATATATATAACATTGTCGTGTAAAACGTACCTGCAGGACGGTCAGACGACGGTGCAGCAGACGGTGGACGGTGTCGCGGTTGTCGGTTCTGCAAGTCCATGCGCCGCCCGCGGTGTGGTCGGCTCCGTCGTTATCCGCGGTCGGTCGCCAACAGCATCGCCTCCGTCGTGGACAGCGGCGGCGCCGCGATAGCTGGCCGTGTTCCGGAGCGGCTGCGGCGGCAGCATATACGCACTGTCGGCCGGTTTTACGCGACGCGCGTCGACCGCGATCGCGGCGAGACTGCAGTCGCGGCCACGGCGGTAGGACGCCGGACGAGATAAGTCGCTACAATTAATGTTTTTCTCGGATTTTACCGGTGCCGTGCGCGCCGCCGTCACGGTGTACGGCCGTGGTCGTCCGCCGCCGCCGCCGAGATATTAACGCGACCGTTAAGACGCGACGACACGGGTGCGCGCTCGCGTGCGTTTAAACGTTTATCACGCGCGCCGCGAGTAGCAACGTACCGTATCCGTAACGGTAGCGTGGCGATCGGCTGTCCCGCTGTACAACGCGCGATGACTGCTGCAGTGCGCCGAGTGTACGAAAATATTACGGTGATGGTGATGATGATGATGATGATGATGATGACGACAATGGCGACGTGTAGGACGCGTGATATAAAGATATTATGTAATGTGCAACGGTCACAGTTCGAAATGCACGCGTGTATGTGCACAGCTGCAGCCGCTGCCGCTGTCGTCGTCGTCGTCGTCGTGGTCGTAGTCGTCGCTACACTGCTATGCACCGTGTGCGCCGCGCCAATACGACTACCGCCGTAGCGTTAACGCTACATAACAAATATTATCGTATTATTATGTTTACGACGGTCGGTTGCTAATCTGCGAGTTCGACGTGTGGGGTGGGGGTCCTCAGCGCCGAGGCGACGGTTCAACGGGAGCGCAGGAGGCTGGAACACGGCGCGACGCCGTGACCCCGCCCATTCCGGTGACGGAAACTCTGCTGCCGCCACCAATCGTCGTCGTCGCCACCACCGCCGCCTGCGGCTGTACCACTCTACACGAAATCCACCCGACGCACGGCAGACCCCCTCCCCCCCCGTATCGTCACAATGCGTACGCAGAGCGAAGGGCGCAGGTTTTTTATTTTTTTAAATTTTTATTATATACGACTGTATATGGGCAACAACATATTATTGTTGCGTGAAACGATATGTATACCTAATACGTATGCTTAAGCGGTGGACGGCTTATATTTTATTTTTTTTTCAACCGGTGTCAAAACTTCCATAAATCGCGATACCTATTTCATATTGCGGTGTAATAGCTATATTATACATTTATACCTTTACGCTATTATATTGTATAGAAACTCGAGTTTACGATCTCAACGGAGACCCTTACGTTATAAAAACCATATTGAACTATGAACAGTTATTGTGCTCTTATATAATTATATTTTATTGTACAAGGACACACAAGAATATGAGATATATGTATGATGCGATCGCCAGAGCATGTAGACGCACATACGAAAAAATCTCGAGAAAATTGCTGCAGCCGCGGTAATGCAACATTATAACAGTTCTGCAGAGTTCTCAAAATACCTAATTGGATTCCGTATAATACTCTTTCAGACGTATGCTGACACTTGCACACGCCAACCGTATCGCACTTAAATCAAACTATAGACACTAAATCTCAGCTCTCGCGACTTATCACTTTTTGATTTACAAAAAAATAGGTACCAAACAAGCACCATCCAGGACGATTTTCATCGCGGTATGCGAGGGTTATTATGATTACCCGTCAATGCGCATCCATATTCAGCTTTTCATTAAACTCTTCTGCATTCAAAAAATACGCACCGGACAAACGTCCGATTACTAAGTCATTGATACCAACATTGCAAAACTAAACTACACTCGCTTATTTACAAGACTTTCAAGTTCCAATAAGGCTCTCTCAAATATTAATTTAGGTATAGATATATCTGGAGGTATGTATGCGTTTCCGACCACGAGAACTCGCACTTGCATTGCGTCAGGACCCACAAGCAGTTAGCTATCTAGTATATAGATACCTCTATACTCACTAGTCACTCGTACAAAAACGCGTACGATGCAATCTATACCGAATGCGCGCACAGACACGTCATACGAAAATAACCTCGAAAACAATAAAGCAGCGGTTACGGCAGCGGTGTGCAGCATATTATAACGATTCCCGAAATACGTACGACGAGTCCTCACCGTGCACGCATGTCACACGCACACATACACAGTCTTGTATTTAATATATAATAATAGCGACTATAAATCACCGGTGGCGATGGACGGCCGAGTATAATATATTATATTATGGCGTATACGCGGCACATCACAATATCACTTATATAGGTAGGTATACAGCCGTACAGGCGATGCGGTCCATGTACCCGCGCGCCATATATCGGCCGCGGTTTTACACGGCCCGTTTAGTGCACGCCCGCGGTCGATGGACGATTGCACTCGCGTGTAAATACCGTTTCTGACGGGTTTAACGCCCCCGCCGCGCGGTGTTGTCGCAGCTAACGCCACAGCAGATCGACCGCGAGTGTCTAACTGCAGCAGGCATGGGCTTAAGTATACGGATTTAAAGTGTCATAATCTATATAATTAATAACAATTAATAGCAAATGCATGAGTGCGTGTGTACGTGTACGTGTGTGTGTGTGTGTGTAAGCGATCCACAACCCACTCTATCACACTCATGCGTGGTTCCAAAATTCGGTACACATAATATAATATGTAGTGATAATATACGTCTAGACCCAAGAATGTGCATCCCGGAGACAGTTCTTATAAATTTTGTATTTTAAAAAGAAGGTCGCGCAGAGATTTGTTGGCTCTCGAAAAACGAATATTTGTTTGTTTGCAAAGGGTTGTCGTTTGGTTGCAAAAAATAAAATATTTATTATATGGGCGGAAATTATATTTTAGACCTGCGTGTTTTATACTTGGTCGAAACAACTATTGAAAATCTAAGTGGTTTACCGAGTACATTACATAAGTATATAATCTTATGTGTACACTCAAGGAGCAAATAACCACATTTTTTTTTTTATTTAAAGAATATGTACCTAATACCTATATACACAAAGCTGCTCGCAAATGTCACGAACCTAAAAAATTATATAACACATTTTTTAATTTTACGTTTAGTATTTATTTATATAGGTAGTTCATTTTCAAAAAAAAAAAACATTAAGATTAACTACAAAACGTATTTTAAATTAATAAAAATAACCATCTATATTTTTATTGATAGCAAAATACTACAAAGTAGTAACAATAAAATTTAAAAAATAAAATTATGTAAGACTATAACATTATTTTTAATAATTATTTAATTATTATTATTATTATTTTACTTCCTTTATATTGATATTAATTAATTGTCTCTATCTTACCAAAAAACAGCTTACAGTCACTTAAACATATTAATATATCAGCTGTATGACATGATAAGATCAATATTAAATATTATGAATAAATTAATCGCAGTTGGTCGTAATAATAAATAAAACAATAGCACACGTATCTAAATTTGTTTATAATTTCCCTCGTTTTGTTCACTAAGAATATTTTATAATCTTTTATTTATAACCTAGATTATATATATATTAGACGTCGCTTATAAGACTCGCGGATATAAGGTTCAGTCATTTAATAGATTCAAAATCGTCTGGAACGGACCGGACGTATCCAAATGCATTATAAAAAATTCAGTTATAAGACTCACCACTTTGTTTATAACACTATTTTTTTTTCAAAAAAATAGTTGAAAATAAACATTTTTGATTAAAATTTAGAAATAAATTTGTTTTCAAAAATTACATAAAAAATGTCGAAAATTCTCAGAAATTTCATTTCTGGAATATTAGGACATAATTCTAAACAACCCAGGATTACAAATGTTTTTTTATAAATAGTAAGTATTCACATACATAATTAATAATTTTTATAATAATATTATTTTATTTTATCATTTATTCACTAATAACAGTAATGTATATATAATTAAGTAGATTAAAATAAAAAGTAAGATCATATTATTAATTATACATTTTAAATTATAATATTATATATTTATATATTAGTCATTGCCGTCACTAAACCAATATTGAGGTTCATGTACGATAATGAAATTTGAGATTTTATATTCAATATATAGCAATACAATTATTATATTATATTCAGTTTGTTGAAATTAATTCAACAACGCGGTGAATATGCTGTGAATTATAATATATTTTTACTTATAAATAATTTCAAAGAACGAATGTTTTAGATTCTATTCACCCATATAATTTATAAATAAATAAAAGTAGTTTAAAAAAATCTGATGTAGCTATTAAATAAATAACTTAAAAATTAGGTGATAGAATTTTTTATATTTATTTCTTTTAATGATTTCTTTTTTTATTTTTAAGTTTGATTTGCATACATTTCCTGTAATACTATGTCACTACCAATACAGATTCTTGATATACATAAAATTAATAGAGTTTTTAAATGTTATAACTTTTATGATTGATAGTTAATCCCATAAAGTGGTGAAAGGTGTGTTACGTGTGTTTATATAAAATTATTAACAAGCTAAGCTTTAAGATAATGTCACAGGTTAAGTGATATACAGTTTATAAAAATATCGATAGTAAACATTAAGAAACTTAAAATTTATTCCACTAAATTTTGAATATATTTAGTCATAATTTAGAAAATCATATTTTAAATTTGTTAATAACAAACGTCTTGAGAAAAATGAAGTCAAATTTCAGTTATCGTAAATGTTATTAATAGATTTTATGTCTACAAATTTTGTAATGACCAGTGTTGTATCTATAAAACTATAAAATTAGTTACTTAATAATTATTTTCAGCGACTGTTAACCGACTAACACTAACAACAACATCAAAGAACTTTAAAATCGTTTTTAAGAAGCATAAATGATATTTGCCACATTTTACATACGTTTATATTACGTTTATACGTTCGGCATTGTCCATAAATTTAATAATAAACAATTAAATCACATATTTCTCGCAGATTTAAATTTCTAATTACGCAATATGAGCAGATTGCGTGTTATAGCCTTGATTAGAAACATTTTCAAAAATAAAACCTAAAAATCAGATTATCAAAAGTTCACCAAAATATAAATTGGGTTTTTAGAAAAAATTAGAAATTTTTAATCGAAATAATGCAGGCAAATAATGTATTAAAAGTGTTATGATACATACAGAATTCGTACAAAAACATAAATAGTAATCAAAACTTTAATTTCTCCCTTTTGGAAAAAAATATAAAATTATTAATATTTCTCATTACAGGGCAAACATTTTTAGCTACAAAAGTGCAGACAAACAATATTGTAATTATTGAAAAAATATATTTTTCGTTAGAGTTGAAAATTAGGAATCTAAAAAAACAGCAGATTACAACTATTGAAATAGCTGGGAATAAAGTGGGATGAAATTCGTCTTCTAAATATGTACTTTATATGAAACTATTAAATAAAAATATATGGTTCAAATTTTAAGCCTCTAACACCACGGGTAATGAACCAAAAACATTACATTTTTTCTGTAATAATAATAATGATATACTGACGTATCATGTTGTGTATAGTTTAATTATAATAAATAAATAACGGTCAGATTTTCGTACGCTGATAGTAGTTACTTTCATTAAAAATCTTTTATCGCTAATGAAAAGGACGATTCACATTATATGGTCTCGTAGGAG